TTTTTTGTGTGTTTTTTTCCTTGTTGTATAAATAAATATTAAAAAAGAAAAAAAATCAACGTTAGTGTCAGGACTCTGGTGTTAACCAGGATTTTTCACAAAGTCCTGTCACTAAGAATGATGGGAGATGTCCACCTTGATCCATGGCAAAGGCCCTTTCAAGAGTTTGATGGGTTTTTGGAAAATGTGTTCCTACTGGACATGGCACTATGCTATCACAAAGAATAGAAAAAGCTGTTATATATCGCCTCCCTAGATGCTGCAAGAGCATTCAACTTGGTAGCAAATCGCACAATAAAATAAACCTCACGAATGATGGGTGTGCCAGATCCTATGGTTGATTATATCAGGGATATATACACAGAAGCACTACTGTAATCATGCCTGGAAGTGAGATCTCCAATGAAATCAGGCCACAGTGTGGAGTGAAACAGGATGACCTAATGTCACCCTCTATATTCAACATGGTTATCGACCATGTTGATTGGGGGCGGCGCGCAACCTTCATAACAGTATGTTAGAGATCTGCTTAATTGTGAATTAAGTTGAAACGTATTTTAAGTTATGAAAAGGTCCATATTTTTCCTAAGAACCATAATGAACATCTGAAAGATGAAATTTCCTTTTTTCTATTTTCCAAAGCAAACTAAGGCACAATTCATATCAATGGTCCAAAAGATGCTGTTTTAGCAATGTTAAATGCTACTGTGAACAGCTTGAACAAAAATATCTACTCAGCTGTAAACAGAAAATTGCAACTGGAATGCTATATTCAGCCCTGGGGATAGTAACTTGATTTGATTTAGCATGAGACTTCTTAAAGTTTTGGATCACTGTGACTAGCCATTTAGATCTGATGAAGCTTATTTTCAGATGCTGGTAGAGACACATGCACAGCTTCAATGTAATCCTCCCATACTTGCATTGTGGGTCTTCTTGGCATGGTGTATGTTATGACCAGATTTTTTTCTGGAACATACTTTGCTACTGGGTTGAATCTCATCATTCTTTTTAGAAGATGGTGGCATCATACTTGGTCCATATTGTTTTTCTTAGGCAGGCTTCCTCAAACTCAGCCCTCCAGATGCTTTGAGACTACAGTTCCCATCATCCCTGACCATTGGTCCTGCTAGCTAGGGATCATGGGAGTTGTAGGCCAAAAACATCTGGAGGGCCAAGTTTGAGGAAGCCTGTTCTCAGGTCACCAATGGCTTATGATCTTTGAGGAGTCTAAAAGAAGGTAGACCACATTCACAACTGTAAAAAGTTTTTCATGCATGCATTAACTAGCAAGGCACTCCTTTTTTTATTTAAGCATAGCATTTTTCTGCTTCAATACCACTTAGGGGATCCATTCTAAACCATGCAATTGTAATAGTGCTCCATTTACTCCGCAGCTGCCTTGTGGGTTTGTTGGCATCATAAAACATAAAAGGCTAGAGTACTGGAGACTATGTCCTTTACGTTTGTGAAGACAACCTCCTGATCTGACCCCCTTCTCAGACCTGTAATCAGTGTTTTCAGCTCTCTAATGGCATTTATTGTCTATATGCCATGTTCCAAGGCCTTGCCACTGTTGTGTGATTAGTTGTCCGAAACATTCTTGTTTCGCAACAAACAATGGATTTCTTCTTGTTTACCTTGAGTCAAGGGTCATAGAACCAATTCAAGATGATGACCAGCATTTTCGCATAGGTTTTATATAGACTTATCATGTTACCCATTTGTAGCATAAAGAAGTAGTTTTACTCAATATGGAATCATGCATGCTCATCATCAACATGTTGCTTTCCATCTAGATTGAGTCTAGATTCTGCTATCCACGAGGGTGGGTGTGGCTATTTGATATGTGTTTGAAAACCATCCCCTTAATTATGTATCCATGACATTTTCCTCCCCACACAAGCTCCAGGTGAATGAAGAAGGAAGTGGTAATTAAGATTTTGGTACATGCCCACCCACAACAGGTGTGAATACACTGGAGCATAATGCAGAATAAATTTGCATTGAGCTTTTTTGTGAAAAAGCCCTTTTCTGGAGCAAGAAATATGCAATAGGTTCAGATTTTGTGTGAATTAGGTAGAAAAAAATAAGATCTCAGTGGTCATTGAATGTAGAATATACTGTTGCATGTACACAGCCATGGTCTTGTATTAGGATGCCATCCATGAACATAATAATTTATTTTATGTCTCTAAGGCATTATGTTATCTTCTGTTGGAAGCATTTGTGGGTCCAAATGGCAAGCAGCATTGAACAAGGCAAGGGTGTGATAAATGTAGTCAGTTTAGCTATTTACCAGAAATTGCTCGAAACATCAAACTGGGAAAACAATTTGGTTCCTGTCACTTTTGGAGGAAAGCCCTATAGCATTGGAAGTACATGTTTTCCTCCAGCTATACCATCATTAAAAATTCTAAGGTCTATGCAGATAGAGATGTTCTCCGTTTCCTTGATGACTGGTACCACTGGTGCCTACCACATATAGGCTTGGTGATTTCTTTAATGATGCCATGTGTCTTCATCCTATCCAGCTTCATTTCTTCCTTGTTAAATGAAGATTCTGCAGGGTGTCTGAACCAGAGCCCAAATGATATGGCACCCATCCACCCCCACTAGGGACAATATTTTTAAAAAAATATTTCTGAAACATTCAGACACCTTCATCTGTCCATACTTCATGGTACTGCCTGAAGCAGGTCATTTCATTCAGCTGCACAACAGGTCAGATGCTCAGTGTGACAATCTGGACTCGGATCATCCTTGCAGGAGGAATTGCTAATTAAGGCTGCAATCCTATACCTGCTTACCTGGGAGTAAACCTCACTGAAGTCAAAAGGGCCTACTTGCAAATAAAAATCTATAAGATTGCACTGGAAGACACATACATCCCAACCTAACCAAACAACTGATGTAGTTACAGGTAGGTAGCCTTGTTGATCTGCCGTAGTCGAAACAAAATTAAAAAATTCCTTCCAGTAGCACCTTAGAGACCAACTAAGTTTGTTATTGGTATGAGCTTTCTTGTTCAAACAACTGATGGCACATATAATCTCCTGAGTTGCAATGGTCAGAAGGAGGTCATTAGGAGCTCGTATATATTTTGAGTGGGTCTTCTGATAAATGGCTGTGCCCTCATAAGAAGGCACACTTTGAGAAGGAATACAAACGACAACCTACATCACAAAACCTAAACAGGCATCTTTGTTTCCTGGCTACAAAAACTGGAGGCAGTGGAAAAGGACTGTGATTCTGAGTAGAAAAATGAATGGGGGAATGGTGACTTTCCTACTCAAAAAAAGGATCCATCCCAGTTTTCTTAGGAAACAGGGGAGCCAGTTCAGGTTTTGTTATATGAGTTTAACATAGCTAGTCAGTGGTTCTCAAAGTGTGAGGCAGAGCTTCTTACAAAGGCACAACATACATTCCCTTCCCCTATGTATGTCTTATCTGAGTTAGCAAGTATCGTTCCAATTCCTCATATGGTTTACAAGGTGTTAGTGGGTACTTGGAGCAGAAAATCCTCTGCAACTTTTCCTCTTCCCTCCCACCTCAGCTTGTCCTCTTAAAACCATAGCCACCCAAAGCCCGCTTTTCTTAAAAACAACAAATCTCTCAGGGCTTCATTATGCACAGTTTTGTGCTGTCAAATTCCAGCTAAGGCGTAATGAACTGGTCTTGTCCTCATACCCATTTTCAGAAGGTTCTCTCATGATGTGTTAAAAATGAAGAATTAGAAATGGGAGTACGATGTGCTAAACACCGTGTTGTTATGGCACTGTGTGTGCTGCTACACATTTTATTACAATCGTAATTTCAGTAAACTACATCTGGCTTCATCAAAGGCTGTCCCCTCAGGTTAAGCTGCCTGCATAAAAATATCTCCTAGAATTTTTTTTTAATGTTCCTTCATTTTATCTTTTGTTTGAAGGGGGTTGAGTTGAATCATTTCTCCCTTTTTTAAAGATTACACGAACACATTTTTTTTCTTAATTCTATCATCTTTTTAAATATGGCCTCTGTATGGGGTCCTTTTGTACCCTCTTCTTTCAAGTCCTTTTCATGTTTCCTCTCCTTTGTTTTTTTCCTCCTTCCTGAGAGCCTTTATTGTTATGCTATCCTTTATCTGTAGGCTTTTGCCATGCAGTAGGAATTAACATTAAGGAAATAATAATAATAAATTAACTATATGAAGAGCTACATCAGCTGTAGCAGTGAAAATCTGTATTTTTTGTAAACAGAAAAGGTGCCATATTGAGGCCTATTTCTCGTCTCTGTTGTGTTACGAGCTCAAAAAAGAAACAGTGACATTTTGTGGGTTTTTTGTTTTTATTCTAAAGCTAGGTACAAATGCATTTTCAGAATAGAACAAATACTCTGAAAATGGTCTGCTTCTTACAGTGAGGCAGTGTGCTAAAATCCCTTATGTACTATGTGGGATTTTATTTTTAAGATACGGAGGGGGAGGGCAGACCCACCTGCCTCAAGCCTCCATGAAAATATACAGAACCTCGGTGACTAATTCAATTTGTTTTCCTGGAGCTGACTCACTGTTATATAACATGAAGTATTATTGTCTAAATTTGTTAATGCTGATTTATAGACAGATTGACTCTTTTGTATAAAGATGCCTAAAAGCTGCTATCTCCTTTATAAATCAGCATTACCTGAGAGAGTCTGCTTTCCAACTGAGAAGACAGATGTAGCCAATCAATATGAGGAATTTGATTGATGGTTGTTCCTGTCACCATTAACCAAGCGTATCTATAGACATGCCTTTTCACTCTCTCCCTCTTACTTTCCTTTTCCCTTTTGCAGCTAAGGATTCGAATTAGAGCCTCTAAACTATGAAATTGATCTTTCCCAGGTGTGAGCAATTTATTTTCCTAAGGATCAATCCTGCAAAGTGTTCTATGACCTCATTGTTAACAGACACTGAGTACCAGGAGACAAGCTAAGAAAGCAAGGCCCCCTAAAAGAAATAGTTGTCCAACACAGGCTTTGCAAATGCTCCTTTATTTCTGTTTACTTTACATTACGAATTGGGTGATGGTGGACCATTGACCAGTCTAGACCTTGTTTTCTGTGTGGGTATTCAAGTAGGAAACAAAAGATCAGGAAAATAGCCTTGGCTATATAGATTGTGGTAAGGAGAGAAGGTGTGGTAATTGGCCCTTAACACTTCTGTGCAGTTTCTTCATATGGTTTCTCAGTCAATTTTATTGTTAACCAGGGGGTTAAATGCATATTTGAGGCTATTCTTGAATCTTCATTATTGAAGCAGACTATCGATACTGTTAATAGCTATTTAGAAAAAGTCTCCAGGATACCTTTTTCAAGTTTCGGTGTGCTGATTTATCACACAAAGCCCAGAGTAAATGTAATCATTCTCATATTCTTCAGTTTATCTACACAGAAGGCCAGAGACAGGGTTACCACCAGTTATGGTGCATTTAGTAGCTATGTCAAGAGTGTGGACGCTTTGGCCCTCCAGATGTTGTTGAACGACAACTCTCTCATCAGCCCAGCAAGCACAGCCAAGGGCCAGAGAACTCAGCAACAGCTGGTGGACCAAAGTAACTATCAACGGGTAGAGTTGGCCTACTGATTTAAGTTTGCCATGCACCTCTTAAAGTCACAGACCCTTTGTCCATTAGGCCATTAAGAAGTAATTCACTGGGTGATCCCATGTGCCACAGTTCACAGAGTCTACTCTGTTTCCGATTAATACAGGCTTCTTGCCAATTCTGATCAGGGGATGGCTATGGAGCAAGATATTCCTTTCACACACGTGCTGAAAGCTCCACCATGATTGAAGTTCTCAACTGCACAAAACCTACTGTCTTCTGCTCTTTTTTAACTATCAGGAAAAAGAGCCTGAACGAGCGAAAGAATCCCTCTTCTTGTCTCATTGCTGCCAGAGTACCAAACTATTTTCAGTTTTTAAGTCAATTGCCTCAGCTGCTTCAATCCCCAATAACCATTCTGGAATTTCTGTTATATCTGTGCTGCATGCGTTATCATTTCTGATTCATCTAAGAAGCCATTTATACCTATTATTATTCTCTTTGTAACCAGCCCTCTCTCCCAGCTGTTCTTTTCTCCTTTCTGCTCAGCTCTTTTCCTTTGAAGCTTTCATACTGAAGGGGGTTATTTTTTTATTTTTTTTAAAGTGCTTGAAAGGAGTTGGTATGCTGTTGAAACCTTTAAGAGAATCTTGATATCTTCCCATGTAGGGGCCTGTGAAGCTGTTTACTCAATAAAAGGAAATCTTTGGACAGTGTTATTGGAAACAAGCTTCGCGTCTTTGTTCAATGTCATTTACTCCATGAGGCCTTTGAAATCTGGAGCCATGTGCTGCACCTGGAATTAAAATAATCTGTGTTTAGTCTTAAATTATTTTGGTTGTTCCCTTTTACCGTTCTGCAAGCACATAAGGGGGATCATTGAGGACCAATACCCTAGATTTGCTCCTCCTCCTCAGAGTTTCCATTGCCCTCCAACTCCTGAAAGGTGACTGCATGAAGCAGGGAGTCTCCTGTATTCATGGAGAATTCTCAGACATTCTAGAAGCCTGGAAAACACAGGTTCTAAAATGCATGAGGGGGGCTTTCCACTTGACAAGGTTGCCTGCCACTGTTTTGAAGGAAACAACACAAAGGGGGGCAGAGTTAGTGCACTGATCACTGCCCCTGTCATGTGTTTGCTGAAAATGAAAAGGCAAAGCCTGAACTGTTATCTCCTTTCCTCTTATTCTATCTCTTTCTAAGATTTAAAAATGCAGAAGGAAGACCTAGGGTTGGTCTAACTGGTTAAAACAGAGGTTTTCAACCTTTTTGAGTCCACGGCTCCCTTGACCAACTACATTGTTTCTGCAGCACCTCCGTGGGGTTCAGGAGCCCAGCTATATCACCCTTTGCCGATAGAGCTGGCAGCTTTTCATCTCATTTCAAACACCCTCTCTTGTGAAGTGTTCCCTCAGCCTCCTCTCCCCTCCCCTCTTCTTGGGAGCCCTCCGGGCAGCCACTGCTGCCACCCCTGGACTCTGAGCTCCCCCCCTCCCACCCCAAAGAGAGGTCCCTCCTCACACTGCCCAACGGGGTCCTAGGACTTGTCTGTCTGTTCCCAACTGCAAGGGCTGGTGGACTGGTTGGCTGGGCTCCCCTCACCTGCTTGCTTGCTTGCTTACTACAAGCCTGCTTCAGCTCCTGGCAGCCAGTACCCCCTGACCAGCCCCAGAGGCGGCATTTGCCTAAGGAGCTTGTAGCCAGGTCTGCTACAACCAACAGCTGTACAAGCCTTTGGGAGGCAGAGGTGCAAGAAGGCATCAGAGGAGGGAGGAAAGGAAAGAGGGAGGCCAGTGTTGCCCACAGCACGCCTGACCATCATTCAAGGCACCCCAAGGTGCCAGGGCACACTGGCTGAAAACCACTGGGTTAACAGATTTTAAAGAAACATTTATTAAGGGATGTTTTTACTGCACCTGGGAACAGGGCGGTTTTGTTGTTTGGAAACAGAAGAGCCTCTTAAGAGTTTCTGTTTAGAGGTTGTGGGAAGCACTGCTTAATGACTTTGTAATTATTCTAATCTGCATTAAATTTCTACTGTTCAAGTGCAAAGTGGCTTCCACTCCTGTCTCATTTAGCCTCCCAGCAACTCTAAGAGGGTGAATGCCCAAAGAACAGTAGTTACCTTCATGACTGAGCAGGGATTGCCTCCCCAGCATACCAAACTGCCTATGTGTGTTGTGTAGTGAGATACTCTGAGTAGCTCCAATCATCTGTTTCGCAGTGCAGTAAAAGTACTAAATCTGCGCAGACACACACATCCCAATTATCATTCCAAACAGCTGATTAGTGCACACCCCCAGGCTGGGGATCTATGCATACAGCAGCTATTTGAATCCCATCCAACTAAGGATATGCATTCAGAAAGATCTGCTTCTATACAAGTAAGATCCTTTACTGGATAGGAACAATCACTTGTGTGCCAAGGCCCCATGACCCACTGTTCCCTAGTGGATAAATAAACACACAGAAAAGTGGATTTTGGTTTATGGTTTTGAATAGGCCACAAGCTTATTGGTTACAGATGTGAGCAGTTTGGCTTAGGCATTGGGTGAAGCCAGACTATACCTTGACTCCCGCCCATTGCAAGGAGTCCAACTAAGGATAAACCACCAATAGGGGGAGCTTTATGGCTTACATCAAATAGGGGCATCCCAAGGCATCCCCATAGGGGTTGTGGCATAGCCCTAGCCCACGTCCGGGCATCCGACAGAATACACACAACCCAGATCCCTTTAACAGATCCCTTTAAGGAGGAGGGGCAGACAGAGGCTACAACTTCCCCTCTATCCAAACAAAGGCTTACCCAATGCCTAACCTTACAAAGTTGTGATGATTGCTACAAAGTAGGCAAAAACCACATGGCAGGAGCCAATTTGCCAAGCAGAAAAAATTCCTGCCCGGTCCCCAAAATATGGTGGCCAACATTTGTCCATAGCAAGGTTGTGTCAGAGCAAAGCATAAAAAGAGGGCAGGTGTGTAGGAAATCCGGCGAAGGATGAACTGCAGAGTTTTGAAAAACTAAAAGACAAAGTGCGAGATTGGCTTCATTATTATCAGATAATGGAGGCATATAATTTGGATAAGAAAATTGGCTTCCAGGTGGAAAAATCAAAATTGGAAACAGAACTGTTAGACCCTAAAACCAAGATTTTGTCAAAGATGTATAACCTGCTGTTGAAATGGAACACTCAGGATGAAACGGTGAAATCTGCTATGATTAAATGGGCACAAGATGTTGGACATAACATAATGATGGCTGACTGGGAACAGTTATGGACCACAGGTATGAAGTTTACGGCATGTAATGCCTTAAGAGAGAATATTATGAAAATGATATACAGGTGGTACATGACTCCAGCCAAGCTTGCAAAAATCTATCATTTGCCCGATAATAAATGTTGGAAATGTAAAGAAACTGAAGGTACATTCTTTCACCTTTGGTGGACGTGCCCAAGGATTAAGGCTTTCTGGGAGATGATCTATAATGAAATGAAAAAGGTATTTAAATATACCTTCTTGAAGAAACCAGAGGCCTTTCTCCTGGGCATAGTCGGCCAATTGGTGCCAAAGAAGGATAGAATTTTTTTTATGTATGCCACAACAGCAGCAAGAATACTTATCGCAAAATATTGGAAGACACAAGATTTACCCACACTGGAAGAATGGCAGATGAAGGTGATGGACTATATGGAACTGGCGGAAATGACTGGCAGAATCCGAGACCAGGGAGAAGAGTCGGTGGAAGAAGATTGGAAGAAATTTTAAAACTATTTACAGAAATACTGCAAAATTAATGAATGTTAGAATGATGTTGGATAGAAGTTAAGTGGTTTTTAGCAGCAATGTTATAAAGGAATATGTAAAAATGGATTGTTAACAGGTGATAATTTAAAGTTATAATATATTAAGATAAAAGATTAAGATAAAATCAAAGAGGGAAAGGAATTGCTGAACTAACTAATTGAACTGGAATACAAAAAAGGGAGGTGTGAGGAGGTCAGGGAAACAAGCAAATGAAAGATAAGATATGGAAAGACTGATTTGTTTTTAATTGTTTTTACTTTGTATTTTCATTTTTGTTCTTTTTTTTCTCTTTTACTTTTTTCTCTTATTTTTGTAATATGTTGAAACTTTAATAAATATCTTATTTAAAAAAAAAAAAGGAAATCCGGCGAAGGATGGTCCCAAGCTGTACCGCAGTTTAAATTTCCCACAGCCACACCTCCTGCCAGTGCTGATTAGACAGCAGAGCCGCTCCCCACAACGCAGCCAGGCGAAAATGATGAGGGAGCCATCCACCAGAAAAGATAACCAGATATTTCACATGCCGTAACATAAGGAACCATAGCTGTTTGGTCTAACGCTAAGACATTAATGTTAAAGCAGTGGGGAGGAACCAGGGCCGTCTTAAGCATATCCGGCACCATGGTGCAAAGCTCTCTCCAGTGCGCGCCCCCCTTTTCCCAGAGTTTTTTAGGATGGGCGGCGCTGCCGGCAGGGCTGGAGGAGGTAGGCAGTGGCTGGAGGGCAGCTCCTCCGGCGGGGAAGAGGCACAGGCTGGCCGCTTCATGCCATGGTGGCCATGGCAGACGGAGGCTCTGGGCACAGCGCTGCTTCGGCGCAGCATGGCGGAGGCGGGCGAGGGCAGCGAGCGGATGCTGGGAGGCCCTGCGTCCAGCCTCCGCCTCTTCCTTGGCGCCCTCCAGAACTTGGCGCCCTGGCGCCCTGCACCACTAGCCTCTATGGGTAAGATGCCCCGGGAAGAACACCACAAAAAGGTCTGAAACAAATAGCAGCGGAAAGGAAAAGAGAAGAGAAGGAGCAGGGTTGAAATGGCCCTCATTTCATCTGTTGGGAACACAGGCTGGGCCCTGTCATTTTGCAAACAGCTTAAATTATGTAGAAAGAAATCCCATGGATAATACAATGAAATTGCCTGTTTTGTGAGTCTTCTGCTGACCCTTTTGCTCCACATGGAGCTAACCTTGTAACCGGGAATGAAAGAAATGTCAGAAGAACGAATATCTGTAGCACTTTGAGTGTCAAGTTTATTGGATTAAACCAGCGCCATACTGCTATGCCTGTGCTTTCACAAGAAATGTGTCCCTCCCACAAGATATGGGAAAATTATAATTTCCAGGTATATAATTTTTAGTCAGGATACAGGGGTGAATAACACTAACACACATTTTTGTAAAGACATAACCAGAGATTATGAGTTCCCAAGATCTGATGTTTATTAAAGTGTTTATTGGAGCCCAGTGTCCAGTAACAAATGATACAATAAAACAAACTGAGTTATTTCCAATAAACAAAACTGCACACAACTAGAATATTTGATCTATTTTTAAAACTCTTTCTAGTTTTGTAACCTTCTGAAACCTTTCTTCACATTTGAATTAGTGTTGTATTACAGAGCGATACTGAGCAATTCAATTTGGGAATAAGTGGGTGGGTGTCTGTCTACTTTATAGCAATAATTAAATTGCCACTGTACATGGTAGCAAGTGGCATTGGGAAGGATTTGTAAATTCAATTAACAATTTATTTTAAAAAGAAATGAATACATAAAACAGAGCACCCAGATAGTGGATGAGATCCAGTACAGGGCAAGTCTGCTCACATAGTGAAGTTTCTTCTTTCTCTCACTTGTGCCTTCATACATTCATGAGAAAAGCCAATGGCCCATCTAGTCCATGTTCTCACAGTGGCCAACCTGAAGCCTGTGGGAATTCCTCAGGCAGGACCCAAGCACAAGAACACTCTCCTCTCCTGCAGCTGCTGTTCAGAAGCACTGCTGCCTCTGACCATGGTGGCAGAGCAAAGCTATAATGTCTAGTCCTTCCTCTATTTTCCTTTCCCTTGAAGTTCTCACCACAATGGAAGAACTGGTGTTGTGAATTATTAACAAGTTTTTTCCTGTACTGCTTCTTGTTAGAGTAACTGCAATAAAAAACAAATAATAGAGAGTGGTGAAGCATGTCCAGTAACAAAATGAGTAAACTCGCTGTGTCAATACACAGTGTGAATATTTGAAAGAGGGCAAAGATCCAGGCAATATTCCAGGACAGCATCTCTGCAAATATCTATGTCATGTCCGTAGAAGCTAACCATTTCTGGCCTAGCTAAACAGTTTGTTTGTTTTGTAAAGTTGCTATGGAGGGTCCTTCCTGCCTACTATAATCATATCCCAAATCCAATAGATAGGAATGAAGTTGCGGACTGGTCAACATGTAGAACCCAAGCTCTGGAAGAGGGAACTGGCAAGAGATATAAGCTCACTTGTAGAAGTTGTTGTAAGGGACAGGGGCAGAGCATTTTCTCTATGCACCAACATTTATCTCAAGGGGGCTACCTTGCAAAGAGCCAACAAAGTCATAAGGTCACTGGTGGTCATGGGGAGAAGGCAGCCTCTTTAGCGTATTAGGCTGAAGCCATTCAGGGCTTAATTAATCAAACACACAATGTGTTGCTACAGTAAGCAAGCACAGAACCTAGAGTACGGGTGGGATATACATCTTCATGACCCATCACTCTCAAGAGTTTCTTGCAATGGTGTCTAGTCTTGAAGGGCAGGCTTATACACAAGCATTACACGAATGCTACTGTAGAAATGATCCAAGAATAATGTCTGGGCAAGTAGGTAATTGCTGCTGAAGTTATAATGTGCTCCATTAAATACTGTCCCACCAGATGCCATTTTTGAGTCATTGTCCCAAAGGATCTGACACAGAAGGTTCGGGCACCATCATGAAAACACAAATGATGTGGATGTAGAAGTAAATTAGCTCTTCAGCCGGCTCTTGTAGCATCTGTTGCCATCATTACAGCTGTTTTCATTTCAGCACTACGGGTTTTTTGCCTTTTCCAATCCCTCCCCTTCCAAGTAGTTACCTGTTTTAATAAAATTTAGTTACTGTATTTCCAAGATTGTATGACCATTCTTTTTTATGGCAGGGAGAGTGTGGGATGGACATCATATTTGGTTGGGATGCTATAGAGAATAAGTGGCCTGGGTGACTAGACACATGTCAAAAAGAAAAATCAAGTCAAGCAAAGAGTGGGAAAATTATGACAGGAATTGAAGGTGAGCTTGTACTGAAAGCAATGAGGCTGTTAGAACCAGTGGAGAGATTCAAAACAGGAGATGTTTCATCCATAGAGACAGCTTATTCCAACACCTGCATTTTTATAAGGGTCACAAGAAAGAGGCAATGAATGGAGTTTGTTGTCATTATGCTGTGATCACTTTTATTTGGTTGTTTGGTGCAGAAGATAGTATCGAAATAAAGACTTTGTGGCATTAATTCTATGACCAATTTTCTCATTTTCAGGGGCAGAGAAAGATGAAGACAATATTCTTCCTATGATTTTGATCAAATAAATTGGCAGTTTATTAGCAACTTCCAAATTTCAGGCAGCTGTCATTATGAATGTCTCCTTAGTGTGTGAAGGGCTTTGAAGCTGACCCTGGGCCATCAAAGACTACGACAAGGTTGCTAAGGTAACAGCTATGTCCTAAGATTCTTTTTTATGCATCTAACTTTCATCTTTCTAAAATTTTATAGGCAAGGAAGGCATAGTGAGATGAATGTTAAAATGCAGAAGGAAAAAAAGAAGACAGATATTTTCGAATGGCAGAAATGCATTCATAGTGGAAAATTTAAAGTCAAACCACTTACTCATGAGCAAGTGTTCTGGAGCCTTGGAAAACCCCACAATATTTTTTTTAACTAGGGTGCATCTTTTGATTTTCTTTTATTTATCTTACCTGTTTTTATAACATTGGGTTATTCATGAAATAGTCAGTGAAGTTTTTGCCCAGCTAGCCTGGTCCCTACCTACGTTCCTTTTATTATTCACATAACTGAGGGTTCATCCAAACTTCTGTTTGTCCCTTGACTTGTAGTCATAGGTCCGATAAGTTCTTTTTTTGCCCCTCTGCTTTCTCCAGGAAAACATGCTGTTTACTGCTGAATCAGAACAAACATTAATCAGGCTTTCTGCGGATTTACTTTTGTTCCAATTTAGCAATTAACAGTGGGTTTTCCCAAGGGTTTAGGTAAAGGTAAGGTAAAGGTGGGATGTGGGTGGCACTGTGGGTTAAACCACAGAGCCTAGGACTTGCCGATCAGAAGGTCAGCAGTTCGAATCCCCGTGACGGGGTGAGCGCCTGTTGCTCAGTCCCAGCTCCTGCCAACCTAGCAGTTTGAAAGCATGTCAAAGTGCAAGTAGATAAATAGGTACCACTCCAGCAGGAAGGTAAACGGCGTTTCCGTGCGCTGCTCTGGTTTGCCAGAAGCAGCTTAGTCATGCTGGCCACATGACCCGGAAGCTGTATACCGGCTCCCTCGGCCAATAAAGCAAGATGAGCTCTACAACCCTAGAGTCGGTCACGACTGGACCTAAAGGTAAGGTAAAAGTAAAGGACCCCTGGACAGTTAAGTACAGTCAAAGGCGACTATGGGGTTGCAGTGCTCATCTCGCTTTTTAGGCCAAGGAGGCCAGCGATTGTCCACAGACAGCTTTCCGGGTCACTTGGCCAGCATGACTAAACCTCTTCTGACACAACGGGACACTGTGACAGAAACCAGAGCGCACACGGAAATGCCATTTACCTTCCCACCACAGCGGTACCTATTTATCTACTTGCACTAGCATGTTTTCAAACTGCTAGGTTGGCAGGAGCTGGGACACAGCAATGGGAGCTCACCCCATTGCACGAATTCGAACCACCAACCTTCTGATCAGCAAGCCCAAGAGGCTCAGTGGTTTAGACCACTGCGCCACCCATTTCCTAGCGCCACCCATTTCCTAGCATCACCCACTAGCTGGGTTTGCTAGGCATGGCAACCCAGGCAAGGAAGCTAGGAGGGGCCTGAAGTGTTGTAGTAGAACAAATAGCCATTCTAGGAGAAATCATTCAATCAGAAGCAAGTTTAAAGTGAAAGCTTAAGTAAAGGTCTTAATTATTTCTGTAGAATTTTTGACTGAAACATTATCAGAGTAACTATTAAGCTTTAACCGTCATTGACTGTATTTTACAAAAATTCCAGTTTCATTTACAATGTGTCTCATTCTTGTCTTTGTGCTCCAATTGAGGGGAAAGTTTTCACAGGTTTCCCTGGTGACCTCTTAGGTGTTACTGATAGGAAGTGTCTACAATATAAAACACCCCCCAACCCAGCTCTCATCTTTATTGAGAGAGGTTGCCACAGTAAGGAATTTCTGTGGTCAGTCTAGCAACATCAGGAGGACTCCAGGTTCCCTCATTCCTGAGATCCAGGCAAGCCCACCCATGAGACTGGGTGAAGCAGCTGCCTCAGGCAGCATAAGTCCCTGAGGTGGTACCCCCATGGGCACCCTGCCCCACCTCCTCTACCACTGATATCAATTTCCAGTGAGATCTCACAAGATGTCGCCACCACTTCACGCCACCCCAACCACACAACCTAGGTAATGGATGCCTGGGCAGGAGTGACAGGATGGGGCAGCTCTTCCCTATTATTATTATTATTATTATTATTATTATTATGCCTCTAGCGGTAAAATAGGATGCACCACCCCTGCCTGAAATTAAGTGGCGGCTTGTCCTCCCCACCACATGTTAACATTCCAAACTGTACCTATCTGCCCAGCTCAGATGCTGCAGATGTTTGCTTGTGAACATGCCCAAGTGTTCAAAGGGGGTAACTTAAGGAAATTCATATTCATCTAAGGAAGCTATTCATTATAAGTAGATAAAAGCATTTTCGCTTATAATGATTCTTCTTCAGGACTCTTAATTCTGATGCTAACAATTCATAGAAATCAATATGTACATAGACACTTAGACTTTGTGGCATGGTGGATGCCTCTATTATTTATGAGGATATTCCTGATTTTCTGCTCATTTCTTTGAAGTGCCACCTGGAAATGTTGCAACTTCCCACCTTGGCTGGCAACAGATCCTGTCTCTAAGGCCTCTGGAGAGAGATTTCTACCTGCTGAAATGTATCCTCCAATTTCTCTAAAGCTTTATTATCCTGTAAATGAGATGTCCAATTTTTTTATTTTAAAAAATGCCTCGTTGTTAGGGGTACTTCAGAATTTATTTAGCATTTCAGTGTGTTTCAGGGTTTTAAGCTTACCATTGTATTGCAAGGTTGCTGAGAGTTTTCCTTCCAGTAAACATTTATCTAGAACTCTATAGCCTTCCCAGCCATAGCTGTCAAGTGTCCCTTATTTGAAGGGACAGTCCCTTATTCTAGCGCCATGTCCCGCTGCTGTCCCTTATTGATGGATGTCCCTTAAATGTCCCTTCAATGATGTCCCTTAAATTTCAAAGGAAGCAGCTCCTCTCCCTCTCTCCCTGCCGGCCAGGGAGGAGGGCGGCTCCAACTGTGTTGCTTGGCTGTGTTGCTCACCCAATAAGAAGTCTAAGAACGACTGGGAGGTGGAGCTTGCATGCCTTTGTGTGGCTAGTTAATGCAAGCTGAGGGGTTTTTTGAATGCTGGATGCCATTTTGTTGCACATGCTGCTGCAAACTTTGCAGTGCAAAGCCAGGCCAGGGAGCCATCTTAAGTTGAGACTGCATAGGCCTTGTGATGCATGTGATTCAGATTCTGTTCAGTTGAACCTCTGGTTACAAAGTTGGTTGGACAGTGTTCTCGAAGCTACCAGCATGAGTTTAACCAGACTGCAGGAGGACAGGAAGACTGGAGTGCCTGGAACAGGTGAGGCTGCAGGTCCCTTATTTTGGCTGCTGGTCCCTTATTTTCAAATCTGTAAGTTGACAGCTATGTTCCCAGCTGTCTGTGCCCCATGGATGGAGTTGCATGATGACTTCTGGGCTTTGACAGAAATACAGAAACCAAGGAAGGC